GGAGGGGTGGTGGTGGTGGTGCTGGTGGTGGTGGGAGTAGGGGGAGACATCCTTTGATTCCGTGATGGTTGGTGCTGTGGTGCTTGGTGCTGTGGTGCTGTGGTGCTGTGGTGCTGTGGGAAGGGGGTTAGGGACTAGGGGGAAAATAGACAGATGGGTGAAGTTGGCGTGTGTTTGATATATATTTATTGTTGGGACACGTATGGTGTGGTATTGTATGTATGGTATGTATGGTATGGATGTGGATGTGGAGATATGGATGTGTAGATGTGTAGGAAACGGATAGACAAACGGACATGTGAAATGAACGAACAAACGGAATGAACGAACAGACGAAATAAACAAACAAAGAAAGGAACGAACATATGAAATGAGCGAACACACGAAATGAACGAACAATAAAGCAAACGAAACAAACTATCAAGACACATCATCCCCCTTCCCACCTTCCCCCTTCCCATCTCCTCCCACCATTAAATCCCCCCTCCCATGTCTCTACCCGCTCTACTCAACCCCCCACCTCGCAACCAAATCCGCCAACATATCCACTCCACCCACATTCCCCGGAAACACCACGACGGGCACACCACGATGTCTCACTCCCTCCTTGCCATCACCCTCCTTGCCATCCCCCTCCCCATCATGTCCCCCCTCCCCATCAGGCCCCCCCTCCCAACACCGCCAAACCGGCACCCCACCCCCAACCTGCCCCACCACAACCGCCCTCCTCATGCCCAGCCCGACCGTCGCAACCCCAGACGCGGTAATCCCCCCTTTAGCAACGACATACCTGGGCCGGACATGCACGCCCCTCACGACGCGCTCCAACGCAGTGGCAACAGCGCGGTTGATGCGCAGACTCGTCGTGTGCGAGGAGGGTGCGGAGAGTAGGGTGCGGGATGTCATGACGAGGACGTCGACACCACCACCAGAGGACAGGAGGGTGTTTGCTTGGGAGATTGTGGTTGCGATGAGGGATTCTGCTGCTGTGGAGAAGGCGGGGGAGGAGGAGGAGGAGGAGAAGGAGGAGGAGGAGCTGGTGTCGTAGACGTGGCTGCTGAGCACGCCGGCGTCGAGTTCGAGGACGGCGAGGCGGGCGCCGCGACGCTCGCGCAGACGGGCGAGTTGGGCTGTTGTCTTGGGGACGTAGGACCCCGCGACGATGAGCCCGCCGGGCGCAGAGGCGGATGTGGTGTCGATGCCGAGGTCTTGCGGCGTTAGGGGCGCGATAGGGGTGATTGCGAGGCGGGCGGAGATGAATGCGGCGGCGGTGCGGTACAGATACCGCTTACCTGTAGCTTCGGCGTTGAGCAGGCCGGCGGCAAAGACGAACATGTCTGACTCGGCCACGGCGTTGACGAGGATGACGGAGCGGGGCGGGGCGGCGAGGAGGGCGGCGGTCACGGCGGCAGGACCGCCAGTGCGGAGAGTCTCAATGCTGATGGAGCAGGTGTGGGCGTCGTCGAAGCGGGGACCGCATTTCTCGCGAACGTAGTCTTGCAGGTTCGAGCTCCGGTAGCCAAAGGAGGCGTCTTGGGCAAAGGGGGTGTGGCTTGCGGGCACGAGGAGCGGGGGCTCGTGGACGTAGTGGATGTTGTTGATGGTGAGACGACCGCCCTGGAGAAAAAAGGGAGCGAGGATCCAGGCGTGTGCCGGGCCGAGAACGGATTCGACGGCGTCGGGTTCGGCGGGCATGTGGCCGCGCAGGGTCGAGTCGCCCCGGAGGACGATGTTAAAGGGGCGTGATGAGGCAGCAGCAGCAGCGGCGGCGACGTTGCGGGTGATTGTAGTAATCAGCGCAGTGGCCTCGTCCGTGGGCAGGGCGCGCGAGTTGGTGAGGATGAAGAAGCCGGTGGTTCCGGTGCGGAACTCGGACAGGAGGGTCTCATGATCCCAGACGGTGAGGACGGCAATGTCGTGGCATGTCTGGGTGCCGGTCGGGTCGTCGTCGAGCACGACGAGCACGGGCGCGTCTTTACTTGCAATACGGCGCCGGATCGTGTCGAGGACATGTTCGGGGTGCGGATACGGGGGTGGCAGGGAGGCGAGGAGGTCGTCGGCTGGCAGCGCCGGATACTCTCTCGGGATGAAGTCAGTGTCGCCGTCGTCGTCCTTGTTGTCAATTAAAGAACCAGCACTCGCCGCCGCCGACGACACGTTCACGCCGGCCATCTTTTCCCACACACGCACAACACCAGCATCGGCGTCGCTTGTCCAGCCGCTGGATGCGCCAAACAGGTACAGCTGGTGGGCGACGGCGGACAGAGGGGCAGAGTAGGAGAGTCGCTTGGCCTCGTCGAGCACGATGCCGAGGTCCTTGACGAAGATGGCTAGCGCGGAATGCGGGGTCCAGTCGGCGGACAGCATGGCCGGCACTCTGTTCTCGAACATCCAGCTGTGGCCGGTGGAGTTGCAGATGGTAGCGAACAAGTCTCTCGTGTTGAGCCCGAGCTTGGCTCCGAAGGCCATCGCCTCAGCCGCTGCGGCAATGTGGACGCCGGCCAGGAGTTGGTTGATGAGCTTGACGGCCGAGGCTGCCCCGGCGCCCCCCTGGACGCGGTAGACGTTCTTGTCGGTGCCGCTCATGGCAGCAATGGCGGTGTTGGCCTCGGGAAAGGCAGTGTTGTTGCCGGAGCAGATGATGGTCAGGTTGCCGTTGGCGGCACGGGCGACGCCTCCGCTGACGGGCGCGTCGACCATGTCCAAGTCTTTGCCGGCGGCAACGAGCCTCTCCTGGAGGCCCTTGGCAAAGGAGGGCGCGACGGTCGACATCAGCATCACGGTCGCACCCTGGGGCAGGCTCTCGACCGCAGCGCCGGACCCGAAGAGGACATCCTCGACCTGCGCGGCATTCTGGACCATGAGGATGAAGAGTTGAGCGTGCCGGGCAGCGTCTGCAGGAGCTCCGGCCTCGACGGCCCCTTTTCCGTTTGCCAAGAACTTCTCCAGCGCCGGGCGGTGCAGGTCGTAGCCGTGGACGGGAAGACCGGCGCGGATGAGGGAGGCGGCCATGCCCTGGCCCATGGTTCCCAGCCCGACAAAGCCGACCTTTGCGAGCTCCTTGGGCGTGGTGGACGGGGTTGGCTCGGCGCTCAGGCTGATTCTCCTGCTCTGGTCATGGACCAACGAGGGGGCGCCGGGCAGGAATGTCCTGACGAGCCCGGCGTCGTCGTCTCGGCCAAAGCCCTGGGCCAGACCAGCGATGCAGAGTTGCTCGGCCGCAGAGGCCAGGGGCACGGGGAAGTTGTGCCGGCGGGCGGCAGCAGTGACGGCGCGCTGTAATCAGGCATCAGCAGGCAGGCAGGCCAATCGTTGCAAGCACAGCATGCGTCTCACCATGTCCTCGACGACGGAGTTCAGGGCCGAGAGCGGGGACCAGTGGCCGTCCAGCATCAGCGGCACGCGCTTCTCAAACGCAGCGCTATTCCCGGCCGCATGACGCACCACCTCGTACACTTCTCGCGTGTTCAGTCCCGCTCTCGCGGCCAGCGCCATCGCCTCGGCCGCAGCGGCAATATGCACGCCTACAAGCAGCTGATTGACGATGAGTGCATCAGAGTGCGTGGGCATGGCATTGCCAGCGGAGACGACGGTTGGATGATGATGATGATGTGGTGTTGGTGGTGGTGGTGGTGGTGGTGGCATGATATGGTGTGTGGTGTGTGTGTGTATGTGTGTGTGGTGTGACTTTGATATTGATCGAGGTGGATCGGGCAATCTGGGGTTGGATGGTGGCCCAGGAGTCTGTGAATGTAAACAAAGAAAAAAAAAAAAGACGATTGAGCAGACGCCAACGAGTGCAGCTTATAAGGTTTTTTTTTTTTCCTTTCTTCTTTTCCTCTACGCAGGCAGAGAGCGGATGGGATCGGATTCGATAGCTCGTTGTCGTACCGGCAAGTATCAGCAGGTTGCAGGCGTTGTCCCCCAAGTACCCTCCTCAGGATGTCCACGGATAGGATGGTGGACAGCCAAGAGCAGATGGGATGGGGCCAAGAGATGGACGAGGGAGTAAAACAAGCAGGATGTTTGGTATAGTGGTACGATGGAGAGTTCCCTGGCCAGACGCAGGCTGCCGGTCAATCACTATCACACAGATAGGCCAGCCCCGACGAGCTTGGAAGGGCAGTTTCAAGAGTGTATATACTAACTAGACCCAAGACAGGCCGGCAGATAAGGGGCTAGATGAGTGGTTCGCAGGGAGGTGGTATGTTGATATAGGTGCGGGTGTGTAGTAGAGGGTGTATGTATATATAGAGAGAGCTGGAGCTGAGGAGTAGTAGTGGAGGAGTAGTGGAGTAGTAGTAGTAGTATAGTAGGAGTATAGGTCTGAGGCAGTGAGGCAATAAGGCAGTACCTAATCAATGGCGTCCGTGCGTGTGCCCCAGTGAGCGTCATCAAGCTCCATCGTGCCTGCCCAAGTGGCGATATAACACAATACAAACACACAAGAAATGCGCACTAAAAGAGGAAGGGGCGATGAATTGAGATGAGATGAGATAAGATGAGATGTCGTTGCCGGATGCGGGTGGGGCAGCTAAAAGTGGGGCTGGCGGGGTACCTGCTGCATTCTACTACATCGTGCCTTCCCTGGCAAGTATGTGTTGAGTGTCAAAGGTTCCTGCTAATTACATGTGGGACAGGACGTGCTTGGTGTCCGTGCACGTTGAACAGTATCAACAAGTGCGGACAGAATACCGCGATTTGCCAAGGCCGCGGAACTGTCTGCGCCTGAGTCTGAGTCTGAGTCTGAGCGGGTGCGGGAGTCGGTAGTGGTGGAGGTGGAGGTGGTGGTAGGAAGGGGACGTGCGGAGATGTGCGGCGGCCAGGATGAGAGCTGCGTAGTTGCTTAGGCGGGGGAGGGCGCGGCAGTGTACACGGCAGACGAACAGGCACAGTAGCTGTAGTAGGAGTGGTAATAGTAGTAATTAGTAGTAGTAGTAGTAGTAGTAGTAGTAGTAGTCGTAGTCGTAGTCGTAGTAATTGTCACTCCCCAACTGCCGCCTGCCAATCCCCGCAAACATGATAGTCAGGCCACACACACAATCTTCAAGGAGCGTCAATTATTCTCGTCATTATTAATATCCTTTCCCTCTTACTACTACTACTACTAAGCTATAAGGTGGTGGCCCCCCCCGCCCCCGCTGTCTCTCGGCCTTCCCTCCGCCGCCGCCCCGTTGTCTTGTTTCGTCTCTTCTTTTCTTTTCTTCTCGTTCGTCGTTGTTCGTTGTTCGTTGCGCGCCCGCCCTGGACTTCGCACCGCTTTTGCTTGCTTGTGCTCTCTCTCCCTCCCTCCGTCGTCGCTCGCCTCTCTCTGCACGACATCGCATATCGCATCTCGCATATCGCCCATTATAGTACACGGCCACTATAAGCTCGCTCCACAGTAGTAGTAGTAGTAGTAGTAGTAGTAGTAGTAGTAGTGCCCACACTTCACTGCTACTACTACTGCTGCTTGCTGTTGTGCACCCTGCCCACCCGGTCCTGGACCTGGACCTGGACGCCATGAAGCGTTCATACTCCGATACCCAGGACGCTGCTCCTGGTCCTGGACATGCTGCTACTGCGACGGCCAGTCCTGGGGGCGGCAACAATAACGTCAACGCCAACAACAATCCCATCATCGCCTCTCCCATCCATCATCCCGGGAATCTCCTCGGGAATCATCATCATCACATCATCCATCATCAGTCTCCCGTCCGCGGCCATGCTCAATCTCATCATCATCATCATCACCCATACCCGCAACAGCATCAACAACAACAACAACAGCAACAACAACAACAACAGCAACAACAACAACAACAACATACCTCGGCGCCTGCGACGACTGCTGCACCGCCGTCGTATGCCCGTGCAAAGACGGCCAGTGTGACGCCCAGTAGTGCAAGCGGTGGTGCTGGTGGTGGTGCTGGTGCTGCGGCTTCAGGGGGTAATAACAGTGGGAACACCACCACCACCTCTGCCGCTACTACTACCACTACTCCTACCACCACTACCACTCCTACTAATCCTCATCCCGGTCTTCGTGCCGGTCTTCACGGCGCCGTCGGCACTCCTGCCGCTGCTAATCCGGGCGGGAATCCTGCCGGCCAAGACCACGTTCCGAAGATCTCGAGGAAGATCCGTGCTTGTGAGTCTTTGTTGTCTCGTCTGGTTTTTTTTTTTTGCTTTCCCGCCCAGACGTCTGGGCTTCTCTCCTTGTGTGTGTATGTGTGTGTTGTCGTGACATCTCCGTCCCCTACTTGTGCTTTCTTCTTCTCATCATGCTCCACTTCCGTGTACTTCCCTCTCCCCGTTCTTCGCTCTGATCCCCCCCTGCGCAGGCAAAGAGTGCCAGTCGCGCAAGGTGCGCTGTGATGGCCAGGGTTCAAACAAAAAGTGCAATCGCTGCCAACGCCTCGGCCTGCAGTGCGTCGTAAACAAGAGCTTGCAGACTCTGCTCGAGGACGAATCAGGGTAAGCACATCTCACACCCTCTCATCACCTCCCCTCACCTCCACAACGCCCACTAAGCCATACACCAGATGGAAGAACTCCATGGAGGACAAGCTCGAGCAGCTTCAGGCCGCCGTCACCGAAGTCCTGCGCCGCTCCAACTTGCCCCCGTTGCATTCCTTTGCCGCCGTCGCCGCCGCCGCCGTTGCCGACCCCGAGGACTCGTACGCCCCTCCTCCCCCTGACCGTCCGGACATGAAGCATGCCAGATCCATCTCAGACCTCACCGCCGCCGCCGCCAGCCCGCACGACCACGTCTCGCCGCGCAACCAGCGCCAGGTCCCAGGCATGGCCATGACGCGCGAAAACTCCCCCAACCCGCGCACCCGCGACCAAGACGAAAACACCACCCTCGCCTCCGCCCCCATGGCCAGCCTGTTCGAGGTCACGAAGCTGCGGAACCTGCGCAACAACCCGACCAGGTCGACGTCCGGCCCGAACCGCGACTGGCTGGAAGACGACTTCATCTCCAACGGCAAGGTCGCCGAGTCCGAGGCCGCCGAGCTGTTTCGCTACTTTGACACCTCGCTCAACCACTATCTCTGGGGCGGCATTGCCCTCGTGCACGACAATCTGACGGCGGTGCGGAGGTCGTCGGGCGTTCTGGCGGCCGCCATCCTGGCCGTCACGGCGCTGCATATCCCGGGCAAGGAGGGGACCTTTGACATTTGCTATGCCGAGTTTCTCGGCCTTGTCGCCGACTCCATGTTCGACCGCTACCACAGTCTGGACGATGTGAGGGGGTTCTGCATAGGGGCTTTCTGGTTGAGTGATGTATCCTGTAAGTATCCTACCTGCACTCGCCCTTCATCTACATGTCCGTCTGACTTGCTGCTCCCAGGGAAGCTGTCCGGCCACGCCGTCCGCATCGCCACCGAGCTCCTCCTCCACCAGTCCTTCTCGCGCGTCATGAACGGCGACCAGTCGCACGTCGAGCGCGCCCGGCTCTGGTACTTTCTCTACGTGTGCGACCACCACTTCAGCATCGCGTACGGCCGCCCGCCCGTCATCCGCGAAGACGTTGCCATCACAAACCACGAGCACTTTCTCCGCCTGCCCGGCATCACCGCGGCTGACCACCGGCTGCACAGCCAGGTCGGCGTGTTCATCATCCTGAGCAAGATCTACGACGCCTTTGTGCAGGACCACGGCGCCGCCCTGGACGACGAGCAGTTTAAGCGGTTAAGGCAGTTCAACTACGACCTCGACGTGTGGCGGCATCGCTGGGAGGCCCGGCTCGGTATGCCCCCCTTTTTCCTCTCTCCCTACCCGACCACACACTGACAACCACCTCAACAAACAGCCCCAAACCCCTACATCTCAAACTACCCAGCCAAGGGCGTCCACCTGCACTACCACTTCGCCCGCCTCCAACTCAACTCCCTCTCCCTCCGCGCCATCACCCCCTCCCCAACCACCCCGCTCTCCCCCGACCGCCGCGACTCCGCAACAACAGCAATCACCTCCGCCATCGCCATCCTCGACATCGTCCTCCACGAACCCGATATCCGCAAATCCGTCGTCGGCGTCCCCCTCTACCTCCACACCAACATCACCTTTGCCGCCGTCTTCCTGCTGAAAGTCCAGCTCGAGTGGCGTCGTGAGGGCCTCGTCGTCGTGCATGACCAGGCCGTGCTTGTCCGGCTGGTAGGCGATATCGTGAGGTTGCTCGCTGAGGCGCGCGCGAGTGAGCGCCATTTGACGTATCATATTGCGCGTGGGCTGAGGCGGATGTTGGAAAGGTTTGTGGAGAGGTGGGAGGGTGGTGCGGCGCTGGATTCAGATGGTGGTGCTGCTGTGAATCCAGGGAGTAACACAGCTTCCACACCTACACCTACCCAAACCTCATCCTCAACACTCCACCACACCCTCCACTCCCAACCCTCCACCTCTACCAACAATCCCCCCGTCCACCCCCTCACCACAAACCCCTCAAACAACACCAATCCATCCAACACAAACAACAACACAAACACAACAACACTCCAACAACAACAACAACAACAACCCAGCTGGCAAGGCCAACACCTCGGCGGCCAAATCCCAATGAACCCAGGCGACATGATGTTTGCTGACGGCATGAACTTTTTCAGTCTCGATGCCGAGTATTTTCCCATGGGCATTTATGATGCGCTTGCGGGGCAGATTCAGGGGTGACTTTTGGGGGTTGGGGGTAGGGGGTGA